ATTGCAACATTATAAGTTGCAACTTTAATCAAGTACATTAGTACAGCAAAATTCCAAAATTGGATATTAATTCTTGCAACTTTGTAATTGAGGCAGTCTTCCAATTCCACCCTTGAAAATATGTTTCCTGTTTTGTTTTTTTTTCATAACAATAGCAACCATCACAAGTCTGCATCTCTTCACATCCAATGGGGGGTACATATGCACCTACATCAGTAGCATTCATACTTCGTTGATAACTCCAGATCTAAAGGGTTAAAAGTTCATATGATTCAGTAGAAGGTTTAATTTCAGGAGATACTTTTAAATTCCATGGAATGTTGTAATCCCATTTTGTCCATTCAGAAAGAGCTTTTTCTATAGAAATTAAAAAATAAAAAATGTCACTGATTACCATTAATACCTTTGTTTAGATATGAGAGCTAGGAAACATAAGAGAAAGAGAAGGCAAAAGACTGAGAGACAAGAATAAAAGTCTTTAAAGACGTAGAAGAGATGTAAATAGATCTCTACATACATGTAATTTCATAGTACACATGAACATGAACTGAATAGCAAAAAAATTTTTAGCTACACAGTACCGTATACCGTATAGCGGGAAATTTTGGAGGGAATTAAATTTGGCGAATTTGGCGTTTTGATAGCTATTTGCCAAAATAAAACCCGCCATTTTGAGCTTTTATACGCATGCTCAATGGCACGTGGCCACTAATTCGCCAAATTAAAATCCGCCAATAACCAAAATTTAGCAATTCACCAAATTTTACTCCCTCCAAAATTTTCCGCTATACGGTAAGTGGCTTTTTTCAAGGGTTGCAAATTTTTTGGATTCTTTCCTGATTTGCAAAAATAAAATCTGCAAAAATCAATACATACACGTATGGTGCGTATGGTACACGTTGTACAATTCACAAAAATAAAATCTGTGAATTCAAATTTTAGTAGATTTCGTGAAATATAATTTCCTACAAGAAACCACTTATATGGTATATAAAATTATTAATATTATGATTTCTAACAGCAAAAATGGTACAATAATAAAGTCATACAAGCTATACAACTATCACAAAATACACTTAGAAAGTTTACCATAATTAGAATACAAGTCCAGACTAGTACTTTATATCATAGTTTTAACATTATACAGTACTTACTGTTTCTTGTAATATATCGCAATGTTGTGTCATTTAATGCTTTCATGTACATCTGCGTCTTCTTTGTAAAAATTTTCTAAGCATAATACATGTACATTAATTAGTAAACAATAAAAGGTGATAATAACCTCAATTTCAGTGATGGCATCCAATACTCTCATTTTTAGTTTTGATTTTTCATTCAAAGTAGGAATAGCTGGAGAGCTGTAAAATGTCCAATTTCGGGGTGGTTCTACTATGCAACAATTTTTATAAAACACATACACATAATACTTTTCAATTGTTGTAACATGTACGTGTAGGTTGATTATTATTATAAAAATTACTAACCTTTTTTTGGAATAAAATTGAGAAACATTCTTGATGCAAATATAGCTTTATCAATTTCACAAGACCCAATAAACAATATTATATTTGGCTAAATTATTAAAGTTATTATCTGATACATAAATACATAATACACTCTAACTTACATGTACAAATGCTTCACTTTCAAACTTCATTTCATCAATCAAAGCATGACATAGTGAACTTTTACCAACTCCAGAACGTCCAAAAATCAGTATTCTCATGCTTGCTTCTCTACGTGCTTTTTCAATCTCTTCTTTCAAATGTCTGATCACTGCAGGAGATACATGTACATAATAATTTTCACAATGAATTAAGCTAATGCTTTTTATGTGTGTGACGTGTGCTAATACTTTTTGATAAAATCTCAGACATATGTAAATCGGCAGTTGATGGAGGGACCTCCATTGGTAGAACCACATGACCATTTCCTTTTTGAGCTTCAGTAGTATAATAAATCTCATCAATGTTGTCATCTTTCTTTAATTCCTCATTCTCTTTTTCACTACGTGACTGCACGTCAATATTTTCTTTTTCCTCTCCTTTTAAAAAGCACTCAAATATATAACGAGAAACTACCATCACATCAGATTGACCAAATTCTTTTTCATCATCAAGGTTTTCAACATTTATTTTAGAAACTATCATCACACTAGAATGACTGGACTCTTCATCATCAAGGTTTTCAAGAAGCGTTGTAACCAAATCATCAAATAAATCATGATAAAGAAGAGGTTCTTCTTCATCTTGAGTAGCAACAACAAAATTGTTATCTCCGTATGGTTGATGAACAAAAAATGTGCTGGTAGGAAGAGGAGTAGATTCATTATTTGTATGAATGGGATATTCAAACCAACAACTGGATGAGTGATCATGAACTGAAATTAAATAGAATAAATAAATACATAAAATAAATCAATAAGCACGTATAAGCTTGCAATATAAACTTTAGCCACTATTACCAGTTAATAGTAAATATGACTCAACATTTAATTCTTCCTCTCCTCTTGAAAGGTACTGCACTGTAAAATGAGAAACTACCATCACACCAGAATGACCAGGTTCTTTATCATCGTTGTAGATTCCTGATGACTTTTCAAGTTTATCTTCATCACATAAATCATGATAAACAAGAGTCTCTTCTTGTGTTGAAGTAGCAGTAACATCATAATCTCCACGTAGTTGATTAAAGAGCGTCCAAACAGGAAGAGGAGTAGACTTGTTATTATCATCAATGGAAATGCAACGACTTGATGAGTCATCATCTCCTATAGACAAACAAATTTTATCAATAAATAAGTAAATAAACAAATAAATAAACATGCTATTTTATACTAATCAATTCCTTAACATAATACTCATTATACATATACTAACCATCTTTTGGTTGTTCAACTGGTGGTGTAACACAAAGAGTAGAAGCTTCATTCATTTGTGATATTTCTTCAGCTTCAGAATAAAAACAATAATTTGGTGAAGCCTGAGGTGATACAGTACTAGACTCAGTACTGGGTTCAATCATGATAGGATCAGTAATGGTGTCCAAATCATCATAAGGAGGGGGGCTATCTTCATTCTAATATTAGATGATAACAAATTATAATTGAACACAACCTACATGTATTACCTCATTCTTGTTTACAGTAGTTGGGTTGAAATCTCCAGGAACAGTGTTGTTGGCATTAGGCTAAGAGTATGAAATATAAAAACATCATCAAATTGTCACTATATAATGTAATGTAACTCACATCATTATGAATGTCATTAGACTGGCTCTTAATCTTGTAAGCATTAACCACACCTCTCTAATACAATAGTCATACTATATGTATGTATTAATTGCATTATTAATTTACCTTGTTAATATCTCCAGCAACATTATTATATTCAACATGTTGGACAGTAGGTGGTGGTACATCAGCAGTATCAGTCCTCCTACCAATAACAGCATAAGCAGCAGTGTTGCTACTGATAGTAACAGGAGATGTTTGTTCCTAAGATAACAAACATAGTAATGAATTTAACTAGGGAAAATGCAATGCATTAAGGGGCGAGCCCCTTATAGTTTGAAGCAGTCACTGAAGAAATCGTATTTGATGAATGTATATCTGCTTTGTTAGCCTAGGCTTGCTGCTAGAGAAGAAACATGGCCTAGAATAGATGTCATGATGCAAGCAGCTATAGCAGTACAGTACATGTAGCTTTCTCACTTGCATTCACCTTAGCAGAATCCTTTATACCAAGGAAAAGACTGTATATCTGCTTTTCCAACCTTTCTTCTTGCTAGAGAAGTTCTTAGACAGCAGTTTAGTCTTATCTTGCTGACTGTCTGCTGCAAATAAGCTCAGACTTGCTGATGGCCGCCATTTTATTCATTGTGACCACACCCGTTTTCATTGAAGATTAGGCTATTTAACTTTAATGATAGTTAGACGACCCTATCATGCCCGTACATACATACATACATACATACATACAGACGCTTTCTCGCCTTAGTGGGGCGAGCTCAGGCTCGCCCCAATTACAGATTGCCCACACAAATTTACATTGTGGAAATACAATGTGTCAATGTCAGTAAGAGTTAAGAATATTCATACATGTATAACCACACATACAGGTACATTATTTAGGTATATAAAGTAAGTTCTTGGGGTCAATCCTTTCCATTAGTGCATAACATAAAATGTTATCTTTTCTTTTCAAAACAAATGGACGCTACAGATAATGTAATCACTACACAGCAGTATTTTGGCAGTAAACAACATAATACTATTATGGCTTCATTGCGTTACAAACAATACTATTATGGTATTACCTCTGGTGGAGATGTAGTAGTGACATGAGAATTATTGTGTGAAACAGATTGTCCCTATAATAGACAAAATAGAACATATGTTCACAGCATTAAAACCATTATGAAGCTAGCATACATTTCTTATAGCTATTATTACATCTGAAGAAACATGATAAGGATCCACTATATTCCCTTGTACTGATACACTTGTTGGACCTGAAGATATTACACCATCAGTTGACACATCAATAGCAACTAGTCCAATAGGATCATGTATCTCATAATGACTCATCTCTGCTTGTGGTTGATGACAGGCAGCAATTTCTACATAATGATAATAATAATATCTAGTCATAATACAATGTATAATACTATACCTGAATTAAAGATTAGTTTTTCCTTCATAACTCGACGCTTACACATTAACAATACTGCTACTATAACTATTACTGCCATTATACATAAACCAGCACCAATTGCTCCAGAAATGGCATAAAGCATTGAGTTATCATCAGTTTCTGAACCTACAAAAGTATAATCACAATCATAAGTAAATTATACTCATACCACCAGTTTCCTCAACAGTGTGAGCTGGAGATGGTGAGATAGGCATAGTAGAATCACTATTTACAGTAGAATGCATTATAGGAATTGTGCTGCCACCTAAAATAACAACAAAATTAAATTAACATCAAAAAACATACTGATAGAAGAAGTAGTAGTAGAAGAAGCAACAGTCACATAAACTTGTTTAGGTTGTACACAGGTCCATGGAGCAATACTTCCATCATAAATAATGTCATGTGCTGTTACATCATATATTCCACTGGTTGATAGATATATTATTGTATTGCCTGGTCCAGTTATATTAAATGAGTTATTATATCCATTACTAGTATCATTAAATATCACATGACATCCATCAGCAGTTGATCCTGATACAAACACACACTGTACACTAACTGATCCATTCCCTTCAGTAGATACTAGCACATCTTGTGCATTGTATGTAGCTATAAATAAGATAAAACATGAACAGTCTACACGAAGGCGCTACACTTCTCTGAATACCAGAAGTGTAGGAAATCATATGGTTTCACTCATGCTGTAATGGATACTCATACTATTTTACTTATTTCTCTTACATAGATACTTAAACAGTGCTGTAACTAGCACCATTAAGAGAGGAGAAGTTGCTTGTTATAAAGAAACAAGTTTGGTTTTCATGTGCGAAGTTTAAGCAAAGATATGCCACCGTGAAAATTATTTGTTTAATAAGAATTGTTTGACTTTGATTTTTGTGCAAATCATTCACAGACTACCTGGAACCTCTAAAGTCTTTCCATAGACTTAGAAAGGTGTAGTCTACATGTCCTGCTAGTTTCAATCTTAATGGAGCAGATATAGCTATAGAAAAAGTGCCGTAAACTTGGTCACAATTAGGCGACCTAAAATGCTTGATATACAAGAGCTGTTCTCCTTATTTTACCATATACAGATAGAACCAACTCTCCTCCTTGCTACCGTAAACGTAAAAATTTTCGTGGCGGATAAATTTTCGTTTTTTTTCGTGGGCCACACAGATCCACGAAATTTTAATGCAAGGGTGTGGTGGCCACGTGACAGCCACACGTACTGACCATGAATATTACTCGTCTCTCTTTCACACTTCAGCATCTCTGCTTCCCAGATCTCCTTATATACATGGCAACCCCTGATAACTGAAAAGATAGTGAAGGTACACATGAGGTAGGCATCTCTGCAGGTGTGGCCATGTCGCCACGTGGTCAATAAATTAATAAGATTGGGTAACGCCTACCACGAAATTTTTAATGCACGAAAATTAATTTTTATGAAAAAATTCCAAAAATACGAAAATTTACACCACGAAAATTTTTACGTTTACGGTATTATCAAGAATGAGCTTCATCTGTCCTTCTGTTTAGGAGATACAGATCTACTTGCACAGCCACCGTCTTCACTTTTTAGCCATAAAGCAACTTTGATTTTTGTGCAAATCATTCACAGGGGTGCTGGGCTTTTGCCAAAGGGTCTGGTACTGTACTTACCTTTGCTTAATACATTGTGAGACTCCTCAGTTGCTGGGTCTTATTTTATTCAGGTAAATTTCCCCTCAAAGTTGCTATGTTTTTCAGAAATTGCCTAATTATCAGCTTATCAGCTACATGTGGTTCGAATTTTGAATGATTTTAATTATATTCATAAGCCATTGGCAATGAATATCATTTTATCAGTGACGTATCAGGAAGTGAAGCCATAAAGGACTCGTTCACAATTGTGTAGCGTCTTCGTGTAGACTGGAAGTTAAAACAATTAATTATAAACTTACAAAAATTAACTCTGGCATCATTTTCATTGATCACAAAATTCGGATTGATAACAGCAGTATAGTTTTTGCATGGTTCCAATCCAGTCACTTCATATGAAAATAACTTATCCTGTTCATCTACTTCAGTTACCCGGTTGTTTTCTGTTAACGTGTCATTTGGAGGATCAAGTTTACCAAGAATTGTAAAATCACAAGATAGTGTACTGTGTATCTAATGGAAAATATCAATACAAAAAATAAGGAATTTGATAATATTTTATTTACCAAGCTTACCAAGCTTGTAAGAGTAACAACAAGTTTTTGACTTGAGTAGTCGAAAGTCTTTGTAAGATTTGTATTGTTAATTGTATAATCTAACAAATAACAAGTATTATAATAATATTTATTTTATATTTACTTGCTGTGCTGCTGCAATTTCTTTCTTCTTGTGATACATATTGTCCAATAGATGCAATAATACTGACAATGAAATTAGTACAAGGTAATCCAGTAGTATTCAACCATACACTAGTACCAGTAGTGTTGATATAACTGATACCATTTACTGATACATTATATGTAGTAGCAGCAGCAATGCCTCCTGAAAATATATCATCAGAATAGAAAGAAGGAGGAGACCATGACAAGGACTGATCATCATTAGACCATTGTATGTCTTCAACTGGTGATATTCCTGTAAATAGATGTAATATAATGAGTAACAATATTATACCAAAATTAACTTTAATAACAATCTATGTGTACTAACCTCTTATTGTTAGTGTAGCACCAGTGTTAGAGAACACTTGTTGTAAAGGTGGATATGACACTATGTGACAACCAATTCCAATCCCATCATTAACAGGTAACCCAGTGATAGTAAGTACTGATGATAAGTTACCAGGACCTCCAGGATCAGTAAATGTGATGCTTCTTTGTTGAGCAACAGACTCTGTCAGTGAATCACTCCCTACTAGCCAAGTTAGTTCATTGCCAGTTCCTTCACAAGTAAAACTTGCTGTCTCATAAATAGGAACAGTAACAGAAGTAGGGCCAACTGTTATAACTAGAAGAACACAGAGTCAGACTTTAGTCTAGAGTCTTATTGTTTGTAGATTCATTACTTACCAGCGCCGTGCGTTACAGCACTCAGAAGAAGCACGATAGTAAGAGTTGACGCCATCAAGAAAGTTGTGGTGTTTGTGCTGTTTGGTTCTCCTCCTCGCCTGCATTTTTTTAATTTTTATACCGTAGGTCGGGTTATATTATATAGGCGGTAGCCTATATGTAGGATTGAGGTTGATTTTTCAAGATGGCGGCCGGTTTTATGATTTTCAAACACTTATAACTCTTTTATCTTACGTTGTACAGCCTTATAAATGGCTTAGATGAGCTCTCCTTCACTGAGCGATTCTCCTGGTACCTTTAAAGTGAACTGTAATGTAGCGGGAGCATTTCTGGAAAACAGGCCCAAATTCAAATTTCTGCAAAATTCTTCAGACTTTTTCTTCTTCTTCTTCTTTCATCTTCTTCTATGCACCGGATAATCTTTTAATCCAGAGAACTGCTCAAGTTGCCTTTTACATCATTCTTCTGGGCTTGGGTCAAGGACCACAAAGGTAGTTTCAAAAAGAAGCGAGA